ACGGTGAAAGACGACATGTCATCACTGTTTTAGTTAAGAAGATGAACTGGAACAACCTACCGAGTGCGGGGAAGGTGATGTGTGATTGCACAGAGCTGAAGGCAATTCTCAAAGCAATTTATTTGAGCAGAATGCTCTAGCTGAATATCAGTCTTAGATGATTACCTTTCATTCTGACACAATCACATCATGTATACAGTAGGTGTTTGTTTTTCTATAGGAAAATGTAAATCCCTGGACAGAACTCGGCAACACACAAAATATTGTAAAGCTTTTTTAACTCGCTGCTTCTCCAAAATGGCTCGGTGACAGAAAGGCTATAACGTTTACTCATTAGTAGTTAAAAGGCTAAAGAGCAGAAGTTCAGCAATTTTTAACATTCTCTCTGCTTGTTGATATTGGAAAGCCCGAAGGGCAGCAAACCTATCACGCACATAATAAGCTGCCTGCCATATGTAGTTTTGCAAATTATAAAGAACAGATTTCGATACATGTGGTGATTTCATGATAACTTCTAACCTAATGGACACCTGCAATCGCGATGTCTGAGAACTTTTAGAGGAGATGGAGGAGCGATTTACGGTACAAGTCTACTTTGAAATCTCTGCCAAGGTTCTTAATGGGGAAATGAAAATTTACCCATACAGTATAACGCGCAAAAGTGTACTGTAAATCAGATTAAAACGTAGAAGAAGAGGACGAAGAAAACAAATACTGAGAATTAGGGATGGACAGAGGAATATATATTGAAATTTACTACTTTTGTATTAAGCAATTATTTCGCCCTCTCCCCGAGTGTATCTCTACGATTGTCGTCAGTCGACTATGGAACAGTGATGATCACTGCTGCGGAAAATACACTTTGATTCCTGCTTACCTTTATACAATATGGTCCAATATAGTGATCTCTATTACTCTATATAGTAATATAGAATCCTCTTTAGACGAATAAAATTGTGCGAGACCGCCGGAGCTTCGCGTTTACAATCCCTCCGTAACATACGGCGTCTCACACGTGTTTGGCTGTAGGCTAGGCTGATACAATATTACCAAAGCTAAATAAAAACAGAAAACGACAATAATATATACATTTTTATTATTACTGTCATTCGGTCGTTGATAAATATCTGGCTGGATTAAGTTAAAGGGCATGCGAAAAAACATTGTTAAACTCAAGATTATACTTTTGGGGCAGGCAGAAACCAACTACTCGCACTGATTTTGAATTAAATTTAATGGCGGAGTTTGATGGGATTAAAAATGTTTTTGAATGCCACTTTAAGGGTACAGAATTTTATCAACCCCTTTATAAGAAAATATTTACGAAAAGTAAACAATGAAATATATACCCGTTTTAGCAGCATGATATAATTTAGAATTTTGTGTATCATGATTAGTGCTCTAAGTGGATAAGAACAATGTGCATTACAGATTTTGAACTGTGGTATAAAGCATTAATTTTGCTTATTGGTTTGGATTAAGAACTTTTAACATGGAACTGATGTTTCTGGTAAACTGGTAGACATCTTATGCCAGGACTGATAAAAAATACTGTAGTTAATGGTCAGTTTCATCATGGCAAAGAAGCAGGGGATAGATCTTGCTTATCCAGTAAACTGTGTGCTAATCCCAGTGTCTGGACCTCACCTACTGCACCTAACATTGAAACATGACTACTGAATTGAAAATTAATTATTTGCGAGTAATTTCTGTATCCCAAGCTTAATGCTGTAAAAATAAAAAAAACTAAATTATGAATTATTTGTATTTAAACCATGCCCTTATGTTGTTTGGAGAGGCCTGTTTTTAAAAACATGCTCTAGAGTAGAGCCTTGAAGTATAGAAAGGACCAAAGCTGAGGAAGACTTCCAAAAATTCAAGGATCCAGATTCACAGGGAGCTTTTTGATGGGTTTGATTCTCAGAAACAATCTGAAATTCACTTTCAAGATGTAATAGATGTCTTCAGCAAACTGTTGTGACCATTAAGGTCTAAGAGAATTCATCCCAATCATTGTATACAGAACAGAGAGGGATCCCAGCCTATAAAGACATAATAGGCAAGGCGTGACTTATTATTGAGGTTCAGCTGTAAATATTCCACAGCAGAGTAGGGAGGGAGTATGATACAGGAACATGTGTTGTGTGCACTTGATTTCAAATGCTTGTGACAAGGTTCAGCCCCAGGTCAGCAGGAAGATGTAATTGGTTTTCATAAAAATAATGGCGAAGTAAACTGTCTCAGCAAATGGGGGCCCCTTTTCCAGAGGAAAGATATTTCACAAGCAATGTAAGTCCTTAATTTTCTGTAAATCATTCCCAGCAGGCCAAAGCATGTTCAGAACAAATTTATATCGTCAGAAAAGCAGGAGCTGACACTAGGTCAGGGAAAATGATATTTTACACAGGATAATCCTATAGTGATGAAAGATTTTACTTTGGGTGCATTGCAAGTGCTGTTTCTGCCAAGCCAGGCTTTACAAGGAACCTGCTTATTAACAGCCTATAATCCATTCAAAAACATTTTTTTAGTTATTTTCTCCCTCCGTGCTATCATGAATAGTTTAGAGCAGATTGTTTAGCTTGTTTTTCACAATTATACTAAATCTGATAACAGATACTGTTTATGTTATTGGCAGATCAATGACCATGGATCGATGTAACTATAGTAACAGCTACAAACTCTTAATCGCTTGGCTCTACTCTGTGTGTAAATGATTTCTGTATTGTTTTACAGTACAACTGTTTCCATGCAAATGCCGGGAATCCAGTCACCTATTAGAATATGATAAATAATTTACAATCAAAATCTGCCAGAAAGCAAACAATGAACAAAAATCTATACTAATTGTAGGATGCACTGTTAGCATGCATTGCAGTACATGGAGCTGAAATATCCACTTTTTCTGTTTGATGGAAAGACTGTGGAATAAAGCAGAAACGTAATCTCTGAAAAAAACAATAGTCCCATTTCAATTCATTCATTACAATATTGTTAATATTTAGAACAGCCATCAGAATGTAGTCTAGCCCCAGGGAATGATAATTCCTTCAACTTGGTTTTCTAAAACCTAAATAAAAGTACTGGCAAACTGTTTGACAAATGTTGGTAACTATATTGGAAACTGCATTTCTTAACCCTGTGTTATGAAATTCCTCACTGTAGTTATTTCTGATTAATAAACAGCAGCATTTTTCTCTTTGCAGTGTTGAAGTAATTTCACTATTTGGCATGAACACTTCTTATTTAGCAATCAACCCAGTAAAAAAAAACTGCAACACTCATCTAATATATTCAAATTTAAAATAGCTGTCTCACAGAAGAAGTCTAATTCATATGGGATCTGAAAATATATACGGGACCTGACATACAAATACTTCCTTTTCGGTAATGTATTGAAAGAGCCATCTATTTGTCTTTGGGTACACCACAGTCCAAGTTGTTTTTTATTAATTTTATTCCAAACAGTTATGCTAGCGCCAACAAGTTTGTGATAAAACCCATATTTACAAAAGTACCCAATTAAGTGTCTCACTGCATTCCCTTCCCTCTCTCCATTAACAGGAGAGAGTTGGATGCCAGCTAGTCAAACCCGTAATCATATATTGAATCACATTTAGTGCTGCAACAGAAAAGTGCAGAATGCATACATATTTTTTATTGGTAGATAAGCAATAGCATCAATTTTCAAATATTCCATGGTAATGAACTAATTTCAATACAAATACTTGACAAATAATTTTACTTGAAGAGAAATACACTCAATGAATGAGATATTCCTATTCCTAAACTAAATGTTTTATTTTTGTCTCCTTGAAATTGTGCAATTTCAAAATGAGGTTTGTGAAAAGGTTCAAGAGAAAATAAATCACCTTTAATCACCACAGACATATTCTTTCCCAAATAAAAGGTGTGCAACCATGTCTTCACTACAAAATTTAAACTGCATTTTACTCTGTAAAACAGAACTCATAATCAGAAACAGCTTCATCGATGTAAAATGTGAAATAAGATTTTTTGCAAGACATATAGTAACTCCATAAATAAAAAAAAAGTCATATCTGCTTTCTAGACCAATTTCAGACATATGAAGAAACCAATTTAACTCCATGTTTGTTTAGATGATGTCCCAAGTGTTCAATATACAGTAGCAGAAACAGTGTTATTAAGAGAGAAAGTCCACAGTGACAAGTCACATAGAGGTGACTTTTTGCAACACCAGATGCTTATGCTACTCCCTACCAGGCTCAGGGGGAAAAGTATATCTTTCAGATCAGAATTACTGATCTGATATAATGGCAACAAAAAGAAAAACATCAGACTGCACAAGGGAATGGTTAACATGGGTGCTATTGTATAACTTAATCCCCTTGATGTTTAATCAGTACTGAGGCTTTAAAACAGCATTTATTTAAAACACAGTATGCTTTTCTCTATGAAAAAATGAATTTCCTGTTTAGAACTGAGTGTATGTCTTTGACACATGACAAAGGTTCAAGAATTTAAGCAAAGAACTGTTTTTTTTCAAGGGACTGCAGGTAACAGAGCCATTAATATGGTAAATGTAGAAACTCACTTAAGTTGTCAGTTATAAATATTTAAGACGAGTTATAAATATTTAATAGATGATTAAGAAAAACAATGAAGAATTTACAGATGTGGTACAAAGGAAACCATTTATGTTAATACTGTATGCTGTGGTACTGTAGACGGATTAGCTTTATAGAGCATAATGTCAGCACTGTACATGTCTTTGTTTATTTTCATAAAATGCCACATGGTATGGACATAATCCTTAAAGAGGTGGCTCAAATTTAAGCAATAAAGAGTGGACAAAATTAACCCAGATTGTTCTGTTTAACTCGGGAATTCACATCTTCACCATCCTCACCCATTGTGACCAACCTGATTTCCCCGACTCATGGCATTTTAAATGGAAAGATGCTGTTAATCTTATAATAATAAAAAGCCACTCAAAAACCAAATCCCATACATGAGAATTGTTTTTAAAAAATTTAATACTCCAATAAACTAGAGTAAATAAGTATACAATTAGCCACCTGTCATGCTGGTGATCAATTCATCTATCTCCACCTCTTCCATAATGCTTTAACCAGTCTTTTCCTAATCAATTTCCAGCTCTAGACATTCAGCATTAGATCTGACATCAAGGCAGGAGAGACCATTGTCAGGGTGTTCCTGGAAGATTCTGGTGCTAGGAAGTGAGGGCAAGGAAGAGGGGCAGAGGTAGCGGGTGAAACAGGTCAACAGTATCGGAGAGATACTGTAAGGAAACAGAACTGAGAAAAGGGGAGATGGCAGGGCCCGGCTGTGTTGAGATGGCACAAGTGAAAAAAAAAGATGTAGGAGGGGTGATACACGGTGAGGCAGCAAGACAGAGTAAAGATGAGGCAACAAGCAAGAGAAATAGTAAGGCAGCATTGATGGGAAAGAGCAAGAAAGTAGGGATGAGGCAGGATGAGTTAGCATTGGTGACATATGGAGAAGCAGTAAGGATGAGGGAGTATCAGGCATCAGTGGTGACCCATTCTGAGGCAGTAGGTTAGAGTCATTGGGAGGCATTAGGGGAGACCCATGGTGAGGCAGTAGGTTCGAGGCATTGTGAGGCATTAGGAGAGACCCATGCTGAGGCAGTAGGTACGAGGCATTGTGAGGCATCAGGAGTGACCCATGGAGAAACAGTCGGAATGAGGCATCGTGAGGCATCAGGAGTGATCTTTTGTGACGCAGTAGGTACGAGGCATCATGAGGCATCAGGGGTGACCCGTGGAGAGGAAGTAGGTATGAGGCATCAAGAGGCATCAGGGGTGACTCATATTGAGGTAGCAGGCATGAGGCATTGAGAGGGATCAGGGGTGACTCATAGCGAGACAGCAGGTATGAGGCATCATGAGGCATCAGTGGTGACCCATGGAGAAGCAGTAGGTATGAGGCATCGTGAAGCATCAATGGTGACCCATGGAGAAGCAGTACGTATGAGGCATCGTGAGGCATCAGAGGTGACCCATAGAGAAGCAGTAGGTATGAGGCATCGTGAGGCATCAGAGGTGACCCATTGCGAGGCAGCGGGTATGAGGCACTGTGAGGCATCAGGGGTGACCCAGACCGAGGCAGTAGGTATGAGACATCGTGAGGCATCAGGGGTGACCCACAGAGAAGTTGGCGAAGTTGACTGTAGATTGACTGTAGAATCGGTGGAAGTGGACAAAAAAGATTGTTGGAGAAAGAGGGCCTGGTGTTGATGGGCCGGAGAGCTGAGGTACATTGAGGGAGCTTACGGGAGGGCAAGGGAACAACTACTCTTGAAGTACGAGAGCAGGAGGGAATGGAGGCCTGAAGGCATAAGGACGGCTGAGTGCTGACAGCAGAGGTCCAGGTAGCTTTAGTTCTTGAAGCCAGGATCTGTGGGTACAGACCGGGAGAGAAGAGCACAGGATCAGTACAAGAACACAGGAGACAGGAGAGAGCTGTGCTTCACAGTACTCATCAGCAGAGATCAGGCTATTCCTGGGTATCAGATAATTAACATCACTTGATCTAAATGCTTTTTTTTAAGATAAAGCCTTTACCAGCAAGCCTATCAACTTCCAATACTACAAACTATAAAATCTTGAATCGTTTTAATTTTTAGTAGTTTGTAAGTTCCTTAACTTACTTTAGCATTTTATTTTATGTGAAGCACATTCACTGTAACGAAATGTGCTATATAAATTAAATGTATTATTATTTTTATTAACTACCATGTGAAGTTAATTTAAATTTTAACACAATGTAATGTAATACAGTAGGTATGTCCACATATTTCTATCCATCCAATTTCTAATAGTTTCTTTCAATAGAAGGTCACAGGAGCCTATCTCACCAAGCAATGGGCACAAGGCACTACGCGCCCTGAATGGGACACAAGTCCATTGCTGGGCAGACATACACACTCACACCTACGGCCAATTTTCCCAGACCAAATAACTTATCAGTATTTTATTGGATTGGACTGTGGGAGGAAATCCATGTAAACATGTAAAAGGGAGGGCGTGCAAACTCCACACAGATAGCACCCCAGGAATTGAAACCAGGGTCCCAGCACTGAAAGATAGCTAACTGTGCTGCCGTTTACATATTTATGAGTGATATATAACACAAATGCATTTTGTTAGAATAAGATGTAAACAGGCATATATATATAGATATAGTTTTATATTTATATAGTTTTTAAACATTATTTAACTATTTAATTTCCAGTTGCGATTAAGTGTGTTACCATGGTTACCTTACACTGTGACGCTGTCGACTACTGCGATCTGAAACCATGGGGAACAGTTACATCATAGAACTGTAGTCATAGCATTGGGATAAACAAACTAATAAACATACTCCTGTGTGTTTGCATTGGGCTAAACAAAGTAATAAACACAAATACTACCTTCAATAAACACACTGCTGTATTAATACTAAGATTTATATTCAAATTCCATACATCATACCAATTGCTTACTCAAAAAAAATACCATAGCGCAGAAGGGTTTTCTTCGTAAAATAATATACGATATACTGTGGGTAGGCTTCGCTCGATCGCAGGTCACAGTGAAATGTAACGGAGATTATTTACTTCCCACTTATGAATTATTACAGTTCGCACTCTCATGATTCATAATTAACGGTTTTTAGAGACTATAGCCCAGTTTTCCCTTGTACAGTAGACATTCTCACCAAAGTTTCTCTCCGCATAGCGACAATAGTGAACAGGAGCGAAAGGCCAGCAATGATCCAAACCGCTTCTTCTCCAATCTTCATTGTTTCAGTTTCCGGGTCCAAGTCCAACTGGACCACCCTCGCAGCGATCGCTGAAAGGTTGTTGCCGAGCGCCGCGGCATTCGGGACCAGCGAACCAGGGGATGGCGATGTAGACACGGGTGTGAGACTGCAGTCTCCCAGTACCTCTTCGGTCCCTGGCGGGTCCAGAGGAGGCAGGAGAGGAGCCGGATCATTAGACTGTCTGAAGCTCAGCTCCACCAGGCCGGGTGCGTCCTGCTCGGAGTCCAAGAAAGGCGCCCCCCCTCCAGAGAGCCTTAAGGCCAGTCTCGGTATGCGAGCCAGGTGAAAGATTTTGTCTTCCAACGTAACTAACGCCAGCAGACATATTATTATTTTAATGACTAACAGGACCATGTCCAATGAGTCTATTGCGATTCAGAGCAGTTTCGCAAATGCGCCAGAACTGCGATGACACCGAACTTGGAAACCCACGTTCCGAATATTCCAGTGTTACGTCATAATTCTACATGACAGATCTCTCCCGTGTGATGCAATTCGGAACACGCTGTCTGAACTCTAAACTGCACTTTCGTTTCCAGTTGGACTAATGTGCACAGGTAGCACACGAACCAAACATATAAGTCGACTATATGACTGCCTATGAACGCAGAAGAAGTTTAAGTATGGATGGCAAAGATTTTCAATGATTGTTTATCTAATAGTTTGTAGTTCTGTGTACAAGGCTGTCAAACAAATCTACAGAGAATGGGCTCCCAAATCTTGCAATTCTTCACCTCGTTTCACCTAACAACTTAAATGTATTTTTCATTAGCAAAGCCCTACCAGGTACAAAACTTTATGGTGCGTGGTACCTGTAAAAGACAGACAATATGGTCTCTGTGGCCTACATTGTACAGTTTGTATGGTTTGCTGAACGATAGCTTTCAAATCCATGGTCATGCCCTAATTCCTCATCTTTTGGGCATAAACACAGGGATCGCATGTATTACCCACAATATTCATTTAATTCAAACACTTATTCTTGATTAAACTAGAATTGTACTATACTGGAAATTTGAACTATACTCTTTTTATTATAGTTTAATATGCATTGTGGCTAAGGGCAGAATTAAAACAAAATATTTTAACTCTTATTGATAAAATACAAATAAACATATCACATTAAGTCATTTATAAAAATAAGGAAGCTTTTTCATAAGGAATATTCATAAAATGGTATGGTCTGGTCATTATTGGGTATGAATAAAAATAATGGTCGTGTGCTAATGTGGACATTAAGGTGATATATATATATATATCAAATGCATATGCAAAACAATGTGAATCTTTGCTACATATCTGAGAAATAATTTACTTCCTGAAAACGTTTTCAAAAATAATGCAAGGCTCTTCAGGTCATCACTGTAAAGTAAATGAGAATTTGTTCTCGACTGACTTACCTGTTTAAATGAAGGATTACTATTCTTTAGCCTTTTCCTTCTATAAATTATAGAAATTCTGTTTTTGGCAACTTTTTTCTATTAAATCACCAATCTGCCAAAAGGGCTGTCAAAAATCAGGCAAGCCTTTGTCTTTCTTTTTCATAACTCCACTGGCTGAAGTTCTTTTCAAATCTTTAATGCACTGTGAATGTTTGTTGTTAATTAAAGCACATGTTTTAAAGCTGTCACATTCCAATATGGTCTGAGTGCTAAAACTTTTTTGTTTTAATGGTTTGCTTCATATATGTAAATAAAATACCCGACGAAAGAAAGCAATTCATGGTGGGACCTTTCTTTGTTTGTAAGTTTAGGTACCGTCAATTATAATCACAGTTATATCCAAGGGATTTTTATCACAGCAGGTCACATCTCTAACACTTCAAGAGGGCATAATCTCTCTTCATTTTTCTTTTCCATATCAAAGTCAGCCATTCATCTTGACTAGCCTTATTATGAATCTGTTAAAAATTCAATCATGGACACTGTGCTTTCACTTGTGAACTTTAGCCAGACTCATCAGCAGCACTTTCCCAAAAGCCAAACGAGAGATTCATTGGAGCACATCAGTCCAACCTCAGTCATTTTGGCACGTTCCTCATCTCTCCACAAAGCTCTTGATTGTTTGGTTCTCATTACCTCTGAGTAAAAAAAATTAAGGGGCAACTTACTTGGTTTTCTATGACAACATTTCACCACTGATCCCTACAGTATGTCCTTGGAGAAGGTGATAGAGTATTTCTTAATGTCATGTATTATTTGAACAGCTTATAGTTTACAGCTAACTGGAACAATCTACCATACCCTATTATCCTTTGTGAAACACTTAGGTAACAATCCTCTAGTTAACAGGTTATTAGCAAAAGGCACTTGAACAAAACAATGATACTGTTGTTGCATTGCGGCCTGCTCCTAGCTAAATCTGCTCTTCTTCTGTGGACTTTGTTTCAAAAACAGAGTTCTCCAAAATCTCCTACCAAGAACTATGAGGGTCAGTCTAAGAGCAAAGTGGTATAATTCCCTGTTAGGTGGTCAAATAATGTGTTGTATGTCTAAAACTGTTGATAAGGACGTGTTCCTTTGATGAAATGAAGTGCATGTCTGCAAACATTCTAGGTCAGCAACAGCATCTGTCCTTGACAATAATGATGAGGCATAATTCTGTCAAAACTGTTGCTATGATTGGAACAGTAACCAAATTAAACCTGAGGGGGGAGAACAGTGACATTGTTGACTCAGAAGACAGCTGGGTACATCTGGATGAAATGTTCACTGGTGTATTATCTACAGTATGTAACTCACATCTTCAAACATTAATGACCTTCTGTCATTATTTGTCCCTTCACATGATTTGTTTTGCTATTCATTTTTAGCTGAACAGGATGTGTTTTGCAGAAACACTTTGCTGGATATTAAATAATAAAACAGACCTACTTATTTCAAAGGACTTGATTTCCCTCAAAGAATCCTTTCAACCCAATTTGAATCATTATCAATATTGTGTTACATATCCACACGGTCTGGAATTTCCGCACTGTGTCCCAACATGTCGGCTCACTATGATGACCGATGTATTCCCAAGGGGGAGAAAGAAGAAATGCAGACGGGCTTCTCAGACCCGCCCACCCATTGAGCTTTTTATTTCCTGCCATGCTACAAGCTCTGGAATGACTTAATATTCAGCATCAGTTGCAGGAGAAGCTGTCTTCCAATGGGAACCTGCAGGCACCTGGGAAATCACAGGAGTCACAGGTTTTCTGGGAGCCAAGAGAGCCCTGGCCAAATGATCCCAAGCCCAATCCAGCTGGTGCAAAGCTGGGGAATTCCAGCCAGAGCTGGCCAGTAAGATGCCTAATCTTGGATTTACACTGTCAGAATCATAGCACTCAACCTGCACATGGAATGAATGCATTTAGTGGTTGAGTCACTCAGAAGCTCTGACCTCCTTTTACATAAAACAGTGCTCTAAAATGCTTGATCATTACACCGTATCTGTAAACTAGTGGGATAGAAATATTTGATGGCACCGAAGATCTTGAAAATTCTCTGGATCATCTTGTTGTCTTAAATCTGTAAGAGCTTTGGCCCCACCCCCTGACAAAATTAATTTGCTTCCTGTAAACTTAGAAAGATTTTGAGAAGGAAATTTTGAGATTCGACTGTCAGGAGCAAGCAGATGACTTAAACAAAGAGCCAGGCTTCCACAGAAACATCTTCATCCTGAGACAGTGGGATCCAATCAGGCAAACAGACTTCACCAAGTCCAGACAATTTAACAACTGGTATACCCTTCACTCTAAGGATTACCTCTGCCACCTTATGTCCACAACTGCTTACAGTCCTTTCTTTGGGTTCATAGGGAAAGATGAATATTTCATATTTCATTCACTCCATTGACAAGGATCACAGTTCAGTGGTCACAATGTATAGCGTGTATAACTGAGAATGATTGTTTTATGTCTTTTCAGATTACATGGAGGTTTTTCACCGTTTTCTTTTAAAGTGTGGAAAATAAACATTAAACAGACACAACCTGCTGCCATATGAATCAAGTTCTCAAACTGTCCGAGTTACATATGTCTTTCAATTTCAAGAGAAACCACTAGTCCCACACAAAGCAGCTTTTTCATGCAGAGCATCATAATTATTTCCCTTTGTGTTGCATCCCCTTCACTCATGCATTTTTAATTTCATGTTTACAATGTTAAAGGCTTGCAATTGTCCAGACATTATTCCTTAGAAAGGAAATAAACACGTAATAAAGGCATCTCACTGATATATCTAGTACCGTATATGTACACACAATGTCACTGAAGGAGAAAAATAAACTGCAAACGAATAGAGGAACAAAATAACATTTAATTAAACAAGAAAACCATAAACAAGTACAATGAGATTCAGATATGGCTGTTCTTTATTTCCTTAATAGTTTACTAGAAGTAAACAACACTGGCCTAGTGTTTAAAGACAGCTACAATATGGCATAATCTATAATTAGAGCAATTTTGTTTTCTCCATGTTCATGTGGATTTCCACCAAGTGCTTTAGTTTCCTCCCGCAGTCCAAAGACATACTGGTAGGTTAATTCTGAGGAAATTGGCCCTGGTGTGAGTGTAGACATGTCTGTCTGTGTGTCTGCCCTGCAATGGACTGGGATCCCATTCAGGGTGTGTCCTGCCTTGTGCCTGTTGCTCGCTGGGATAGGCTCTGGCTCCTCCACGACCCTGTATTGC